GTATCTGGCTGTTTGTTTCTCTGCTTGCCTGGGTGCATGGCAGGTGGGGGACGTGTCAGCAGCAGAGGTAGAGCGGCTAGCAACAAAGTACTTTGCACCCTGGCAGCCCATCTTCCCTCCCTCACAACCCATCCCAGCCCTCCCCTTTTCCCTCGCCTCCTCCTCCTCACCCCTCCTCCTCGCATCGGCTTTCCCACTCCCTCTATCCTCCTCCCCACCTCTCGCCTCCACCCCTCCTTCTCTCAACCCCACCTCCATCTCCTCCTCTTCTGCCTCTCGCGCCTGGCGATCAGGGAGCAGGGAGGAGGGGTGGGAGGCTGCGAGAATGGCAGCAGCTGCAGTGGGGGAGGAGAGGGAGATGAGAATGAGTGTGGGTGCTAACCCGCTGTACTTTGAAGGTAAGACACTCCGAGGGGTGGGAGGCGGCGAGAATGGCAGCAGCTGCTGTGGGGGAGGAGAGGGAGATGAGAATGAGCATGGGTGCTAACCCGCTGTATTTCCAAGGTGAAACACCCTCTGGGTGCTACTAACCCGCCAGTACTTTGAAGGTAAAACACCCTGGGTGTGCGGAAATTTGTTTTTCCGCTCTTTCTTCATCCAATCCAATGTGGTATGTTGCTACCAGTGGCAATGAGACATTTCCTGTTACAGTGGCAGAATCTCCTTTTCTTTTGTGAGCTTCCCTTATCAGTCCTCCTCTTCTCCATCCTCTCCCACCGGGCGCCACCCTCTCTTTTCCTCCCTCGCGGCATGGAATCATCCTCGATGCAACTGCATGTGCATGTGCATGCAGGTTATTTCCGTCCCTCCTTGTCCTCGGTGGACGATCCAGTCATCTCTGTAATCAGCTCTCTGCTCTACGGCTCTCGCTCGTCCCGCCTCTACAAAGTGAGATCCATCCTTCCGTTACCTTCACTCGCTCTCTCGCTCCCTAGTTTGTTTGTTGGCTTTTTTTTCTCGTTCATTTGATGTTTCGTTTGTCTGAACAATCTTTTCCTTGTGCCAACAACTCTGTCTTTGTCCCATTTCTCCCTTTCATATCTCCTCACTCCCTTCTCAACCATCCCCTCTCACCTCTCCTCTCCTCTCGCCCCTCCTCCTTACTCCTCCTAACCTTTCAGAACCTAGTGCTGCCAGGGAAGGCCCTCTCAGCCAGTGCCACAGAGACATACCCCGGGGATAACCTTTCTACCATTGCCTCCCTCCTTGTATCTTGTGCTACCCTCGCAGCAACACCCTTTCGCCTCGCTCCTCTCTCCCTGCTTTCATCGTTCCCTCTCCCCCTCTCTCAGAACCTAGTGCTGCCAGGCAAGGCCCTCTCAGCCAGCGCCACAGAGACCTACCCCGGGGATAAGCGCCCCAGTCTCTTCCTTCTCTCAGCCTTCCCTCCTCTCGGTAACACCCCGTTTTTCTGCTCACATGATACCATGCCCCTGCCCCTTTACCCACATGACACCATGCAAAACCCCTCTGGACACATGATACCATACCATGCCCTTCTTCGCACATGCACTACCCATCCCATGCTGTGCCCTTTTGTGCAGTTAATATCATACCATGTCATGCACCTGTGTATGTACCGTGCTCCCATGTGCCCCACTCTTCACTGCATGTCATTACCCCACTCTACAGCACATGGCCGACACACGCGCGCCTGAGAGTGACCTCACACTTTGCTCTCATCCTCCCCACTCTCCCAATTGTTAAAAGTGTTGATTTGAGACGTCTCAAAACAGCACTTACTTTGCTCTCGTCCTTCTCCCCACTCTCCCAATTATCCCACAGGTGGCACCACAGACGCGGTCGCAGCAGCACTGCAGGAGCAGCTGCAGCACATGGCGGACACACGCGTGCCCTTACATTACTCTTACCCTAACGTCTCAAACTGCCTGTGATGTTCTGTTTGTGTGTCATTCGTTGCCCCACAGGCGGCACCACCGATGCGGTCGCAGCAGCGCTACAGGAGCAGCTGCAGCACATGGCTGACTCACGCGTGCCTGAAACAGACTCTTGTTCCCCTTCTCAATCCCAAACCACTGCGATTCCCCACAGGTGGCACCACAGGCGCAGTGGCAGCAGCGCTACAGGAGCAGTGCAGCACATGGCGGACACACGCGTGCCCTTACATTACTCTTAACCTAACGTCTCAAACTGCCTGTGATGTTCTGTTTGTGTGTCATTCGTTGCCCCACAGGCGGCACCACCGATGCGGTCGCAGCAGCGCTACAGGAGCAGCTGCAGCACATGGCAGACACACGTGTGCCTTGGAGTGACCTTACTCTTATTCTCCTCTCGTCCCACTCCTCACTCCTCACTGCATGTCATTCGTCACAGGCGGCACCACTGACACAGTGGCAGGAGAGCTACAGGAGCAGCTACAGCACATGGCAGACACTCGCATGCCAACGACTGACCTCACACTTACCTTGCTCTCATCCTTCTCCTCACCCTCCAATGCCCCACAGGCGGCACAACAGACGCTGTGGCAGCAGAGCTACAGGAGCAGCTTCAGCACATGGCGGACACACGCGTGCCTGAGAGCCACCTCATCCCTTTTCTCCTCACTCCTCACTCCCCACTCCCATGCCTCACTGCATGTCACCACCCCACAGGTGGCACCACCGATGCGGTCGCAGCAGCGCTACAGGAGCAGCTACAGCACATGGCGGACACACGAGTGCCCTTATTCTTATCCTCACATCTCAAACCTCCTGTGATGCAGTGGCAGTGGCAGTGGCGCTACAGGAGCAGCTGCAGCACATGGCGGACACACGTGTGCCTTAGAGTGACCTTACTCTTATTCTCCTCTCGTCCCACTCCTCACTCCTCACTGCATGTCATTCGTCACAGGCGGCACCACTGACGCAGTGGCAGCAGCGCTACAGGAGCAGCTGCAGCACATGGCGGACACACGTGTGCCTGAGAGCCACCTCACACTTACCTTGCTCTCATCCTTCTCCGCACTCTCCCAATTTCCCCACAGGCGGCACTACAGATGCAGTGGCAGCAGCGCTACAGGAGCAGCTACAGCACATGGCAGAAACGTGCATGCCTGGGATTGTTCTCCCTAACATTCTTCTCTTATTCACCCTTGTAAATCCCCACAGGCGGCACAACAGACGCAGTGGCAGCAGCCCTACAGGAGCAGCTACAGCATATGGCCGATACACGCGTGCCAGAGAGCGACCTTGCTCGTGTCCGCAAGTCACTGCGGGTCGGCTTCCTTGTGAGTCCGCCTTGATACTACTCTCTCTCTTATGAGTCGACTTTGACGACTTTTGAGACATCTCAAAAAGTGCGTGGCGGGGCGGACACTCGTGTCCGGAATGGCCTTGCGACGTGAAAGGAGGGTATTTTTGAGACGTCTCAAAAATACCCTCCTTTCATCCGGAATGGCCTTGCTCGCATCTGGAAGTCCATTCGGGTCGACTGGTTAGTCCATCCGTAAATCACTTCAGAGTCTGCCAGGTTAGTCTCTCTTATGAGTCGACTCAAAAGACTTGTGAGTGAACTCAAAATACTAAGTGAGTCGACTCAAAATCACATGGCGGGCACACGTGTCGTGTGCCAGAGAGTGACCTCGCTCGTGTCCGCAAGTCCCTTCGGGTCGGCGGCGTCCTTGTGAGTGTGGAAAGATAGTTTCGACCTGGATCCAACAGTCCTAACTCGTCCTAATCTCCTCTAGACTGAGCTTAGGCTATAGTGGCTCGGTCGCTCTTGCCCTCTGTGATTGTCTCTTGTGAGTTTTGTCTTTTCCTCATCCGTCCTCCAATGCTTGTCAAACTTTGTGTCTCTTTATTCCCCGTTCTCTGTTCCCCTCTCTCTCTGCTCCCTTCTCTCTGTTTTCCTCCCTCCCTGTCTCTCTCAACAGGAGCTCCTGGGTAGCAATTCTGGTCTGGCGCGAGTGTTGTGTGAGTATTCAACCAGGGCGGGCAGGTGGGAGGCTCTGGTGGAGGAGGTGCAAACTATTGAGGAGGTCACTCCCACCTGCGAGGCGCTATCATCTCCTCCTTTTTTACCCCCCCTTCCATGACCTCAAGCCTTTCTCTGTTCTCCTCCTCCCGGTCTGCCCCCACAGGAGCTCCTGGGTAGCAACTCTGGTCTGGCGCGAGTGCTGTGTGAATACTCCACGCGGGCAGGCAGGTGGGAGGCACTGGTGGAGGAGGTGCAGAGCATTGAGGAGGTCACTCCCAGGGACGTGCAGCAGGTGGCACGACTGCTGTTCTCCCCTGATATGCGCATCACAGCACATGCTGCCAATGCTTAGAGCGCAAGGGAGCACTGAGCGTGATGTTCTACGGGCAGTTGGAAATGCAGTTGGGGGAGAGGAGGTGCAGAGCATCGAGGAGGTTACTCCCAGGGACGTGCAGGAGGTGGCTGGTTTGTTATTCTCTCCTGATATGCGGATCAAAGCACATGCTGTCAATGCATAGTCTCTGGGTGACAAACGAGGTACAAAGCATTGAGGAGGTCACTCCCCAGGACGTGCAGCAAGTGGCTCGTTTGTTCTCTCCCGATATGCGCATCACAGTACATGCTGTCGATGCATAATGCGTAGGTTTGATGATGCAAGTGCAAGCCCCACTTATTCATTATTTGAGGTGTAGCAGGTCATTCCTTATTGTGGATGTGTAGAGTAGCAAATTATTTAATATCACCTAGCATAAAAACATTCCTTTTTTTTCCCTCGTCTAAGCATGCACGCTTCAGCTCTGTTTGAGGTTCTACTTATCCTGACCACTGGTTTATTACCGTATTAGCAACTCTTTGGCTTGTAGGAACTTTATCTAGCTTCAGTATGGGTGGTTCAGTCTGCACACTTATCACAGTTTTCCATGTAACTGTTGTTCCACTGCATATGGTTACCAGATTGGGTCTTCAATTCGCGCACAGCTGCAGACATTTTCAACAACTGATGGCGATCATTCCCTAGTAGTACTAGGCGAGTCGCGGCGCGGAATCCTGTTAGCATCTTACAATCTACTCATCCACAATTCGCCATGGCCGCCGCGAGTAGCTTCATTCGCCGAGGACGCCCCGCGACGACGGGGATAGCGGCGGCCGGAAAAGCTGGTAGCGCTTTTCTTGCAGGAACAACCACAGAAACCACAGGGAGCAGAGGTATCACGGAATCCACAGCAGGCGTCACAGAAGGCACGGCAGGAAGCAGAGCAGCGACGCTTGCGCTTCCCGGGACGAAATTCGCGGCTGGAGCCCGGCTGGTCACCTCGTCAGGCCTCGCTGGCCTCGATCATATCCGCCTCGCCCTCCCTACTGGCCCTTTTTTCTCAGCCTTGCGACCTTTCAGTCTTCCCGTCCGAGTCCGTGCGAGTGATTTTTCAGACACTTAGTTTTACAGAGCGTTTTACCGCTGTTGTTCTTTTGCTTAAGCCTAGGCTACACAACTGCTGCTCTCTGAGAATTATGACTGAACAGCACGTACGACCTTTCAGTCTTCCCGTTCGAGTCCGTGCGAGTGATTTTTTAGACGTCTAAAAGATCTCTTGTCAGGCCTCGCTGGCCTCGATCATATCCCTCTCACCCCCCCTCTACCCCTCAACCTTTCTGGGAGTTCTCCAGAGTGACCCTGGGCGAATTGTCAAGTTGGATTGTTTCCTTTTTCGCCTTTTGCACGTTTTCTCTCTCCTTATGCACCTCTTCTCTCCTCCAGTGCAGATTGCCTCGCTTCCCAAGCACCATTGTCCAACCAACCTGCTGTGCCTTCCTTAACCGGTCCATTCTCCCCTCTTCCCCCAAACTGCCCCCGCTTCTCCTTCTCTCCCCATCATCCCCTTCTCCGTCCCTTCATGTTCGACCTTCTCTCCCTCCTCTTTCATTTCACCCACTCGTCTCAATCCATCTAACCACAAGCCCTAGGAGGGGGCTATCCAGTGGGCGGTATCGTCCTATTACTAGAGGACCCACTCTCACCCCTGCACCTGATTCTCCTCCGCTACTTTCTCTCTCAAGGCCTCTCCCACTCCCACCCACTCCTCCTCCTCTCGCCCCTTCCCGATCCTCAAGCCTTTCTCGCCACGCTCCCCGCGCCAGCCGAGGGGAAAGCAGGTTCGGGAGCGCACGCAGGTCCGGGCGGCCGGGCAGGTCCGGGAGGGCTTTCCGGTCCTCATGGCCTGGGTGGGCCGCAGGAGGAGAGAAGATCAGGGGGGACCGGAGGGGGAGAAAGTGTGGGGGAGGGGGGAAAAGGGGGTGATGGGTTAAGAATAGCATGGCAGTATAAGCACTTGGCTCCCCAGTTTACTGGAGTGGGATCAGGAGGAGCAGTAGGTGCGTCTGTACCGTACTGCACCGAGTTCGACCTCCGCACACCACTCTCCCGGCCGTCGCTAAGGCATGCGCAGCAGCTGTGCACGTGTGTGCCCATGGGGGTAGGTGCCCTGACGGCAGGTTCAGAGGGCAGCTGCACACAGCAAGAGCCGCAGAATGGGGACTCTGGAGCAACGTCAGGTTTCACCCAGGACTTGTTTGGTCATGTGTCAGGGTTCCTGTCGTCCCTTGGTTCCAACACAGCAGGTGCTGCTCTCGCTGCACCTGGGGGGTCTACAGGAATTGGTGATCGAGGCATGGAAGGGAGAGGAGGAGGAAGCGGAGGTGGCAGGGGAGGGGGAGAGGGGGGGGGGGAGGGTGGGTCGCATTGGTGTGCATTCGTTGGGAGCTCCTCCTGCGTTGCTGCTCTCAGGAAATGATGCCCAGGTGAGTCCAGAAATGGAATCGAGATGGGGATATTCAACCAAAGCGGGAACTGAACGAGAAGGGTTGAATGAATCGTTTACCTGTAACAAAGGTCATCGTTTTGTGAAATTGCCTGCTTCCTTGTTCTCGAATTTCCCCGTTTCCAACCCTGCAGGTACTTGCGTGGCTGCAGTGGTTGAAAGGCTGTGTCCGCACTTTACCAGTGACGGTCCCTGTAACAGTACCTAGAGATGAAGGGATCGTTCCTCCACACGTGCTGCTGAGACTGCAGCATGCAGCAGACGTGGTACTGGCGATGGAAGCACTGGAAGGTGGGTGGTAGCTGGTGAATGCATCATGAAGTGTGTGTGCATGTGTAGTGCGTTTTTTCAAATGTTCTGCTGAAACTGCAGCATGTAACAGACGTGGTGTTGGCGATGGAAGCACTGGAAGGTGGGTGGTAGCTGGTGAATGCATCATGAAGTGTGCATGTGTAGTGCGTTTTTTCAAATGTTCTGCTGAGACTGCAGCATGTAGCAGACGTGGTGTTGGCGATGGAAGCATTGGAAGGTGGGTGGTAGCTGGTGAATGCATCATGAAGTGTGCATGTGTAGTGCGTTTTTTCAAATGTTCTGCTGAGACTGCAGCATGTAGCAGACGTGGTGTTGGCGATGGAAGCACTGGAAGGTGGGTGGTATCTGGTGAATGCATCATGAAGTGTGCATGTGTAGTGCGTTTTTTCAAATGTTCTGCTGAGACTGCAGCATGTAGCAGACGTGGTGTTGGCGATGGAGGCTCTGGAAGGTAGGGGGGAGCCTGGTGACTGTGTGCATGCATAAAGTGCGCATTCGTAGTGCGTGCTTCTCTCGAATGTGCTGCTGAGACTGAGACTGCAGCATACAGCGGTCGTGGTGTTGGCAATGGAAGCACTGGAAGGTAGGTGGTAGCTGGTGAATAGGGTGCAGTGTGCGCAGGCATGCATGTGTACATTGGTAATGCTTTGAATGTGCTGCTGAGACTGAGGCTGCAGCATGCAGCAGACGTGGTGCTGGCGATGGAGGCTCTGGAAGGTATGGCCAATCGCATCACCTGTTGTGCATTCCACTCTGTGTGAATGTGCTCATGCACTTTCTCATGTGTTTGTTTCCACAGCTACATCTCAATTCTTCACAAATTGTATTAATAAATCCTGGTGTGACTGGCTGGTGCTGTGCTGCAGAGGACAATGCAGAGATGGCCAGTGGTATCTCGGACTACAAGGACGCCTTGGGCCTCATTCGCATCCGCAAAGTCTCCGTGCAGAACTCCCTGGTAAGCATTGCTTTGGCAGTGGATTAGGGTGATTGGCCGATGCTGTGCTGTGCTGTGCTGTGCTGTGCTGCAGAGGACAATGCAGAGATGGCCAGTGGTATCTCGGATTACAAGGACGCTCTGGGTCTCATTCGCATCCGCAAAGTCTCCGTGCAGAACTCCCTGGTAAGCATTCTCAATGGATTGGGGTGATGCTGTACTGTGCTGAAGTGGATAACGCTGATATGACCAGTGGCATATCTCGGACTACAAGGACGCCCTGGGTCTCATTCGCATCTGCAAGGTGTCCGTGCAGAACTCTCTGGTAAGCCCGCTGGCATTGCATCTGATTCTGAATAAAGAAATAAATCATATCAGGGCCGTCAACCAGGGAACGTTGCAACAGGGACATAATGTGACCTGCATGGCAACAGAGGGTCAGGGCCCATGCCAATAACCCGGTAAGCTAGATTCAAAGCAGGAAAACGACAATCAGTTGTTTCGGATTCTGGGGTTGATTTGTTGTTTCTTCTAGTGCCTCGTGTGCCAGTACATTGGCGCCACCGGCTCTCATCCGTCTCTTGCTTCTTCTCTTGTCATATTCCCCTAGGTGCTGCGCATGCCAGCAGTGACCACTCTGGTGTTGAGAGCAGTGAACAGGAAGAGGCAGATAGTTGTGGAGGAAGCACATCCACCCCCGATTGATGCCACAGGGGGGGCAGCGGCCTCTCAACAAACCGTTTCTCGTGTTTCTTGCCTTTCCTGATTTCCTCCTCTATCAGGTGCCTCGCATGCCAGCAGTGACCACTCTGGTGTTGAGAGCAGTGAACAGGAAGCGACAGATAGTGGTGGAGGAAGCACATCCACCCCCGATTGATGCCACAGGGGGGGCAGGAGGCTCAAGCAGCGGGGGAGGCTCGGTTGGATGTGGTAGCTCAGGCGGGGGAAGCAATGCTCTGGATTTCTGAAAGACTGTTTGGTCATAAGCTGATAGTTTTGAAGCAATCTGGATTAGAGCAGCATATGCAAGGCAACGGTCAGTGTACTGTGAAACGAGGCATGCAGCATTTGTTGTACCGTACAGAAGATTAGATGTGATGGAAAAGGCACAATCGAGCCTGTTCTGTACTGGAAAGAGGTTCACAATTACATGTCATTTTTGTTGACCAGTAGCGGCACATGACTCTGATTTCTGCTCTTGACTGACGTCCTTCGATTTGGCGTCAGCCTTGGCTTTAGCAGCGTTGTATCTCTCTAGCTCCTCGTAATACGTCTCCCACACGCACGGGCTGCAACCGCTACCGCAGCAGTCACCTGGGAGCGGCTTCTCTGGCGGCTCGAGGTTCAACTGGTTCATTCTTGCGATAGCAACGGTCGAAAATGAGACCGGCAGGAAACAACGGCGATAACAACGTGCTTTCAAGCGTAACAGGTAAGGCTTGACGTTGCTGATCATAGAGAGATGCGATCATAGCCTGATCATAGGCAGGCTGAGGACGACAACTCACGCTATCTCGTATTCACGACTGAAGACGCATAACTGGCGAACAATCTGACGAGGTTTGGAGACGAGACACGCATACCTCGTACAGGTGTGAGTGCCTCAAACACAGGAAACTAGGAGTATCTTACGGTATGTCTGTTCACAACGACAGGGTCTCCAGGAATTCTGCCTTGCTAGAACCTCGAGTTTCGTTCTTCCGATGGGTTATTGGCAACTTTCCCTTTGTATCCTTGACATGGGTCGCTTCACTAGCAGATTATGATCACAAACGGTATGGATTTGTTTTTCCGTCTTCATCTTATTGATAAACAGGGGGACCTATAAGGAATATCAGCTTACGTGGCCGATATCCATTAGTTCATAAAGTGCGAAGCACATTGGATAAGCACATTCGGATTCGTTTCGTCGACCAGTAATTCTCCTTCCTTCCTTCAACGCTGGACTTTCGCTGACTCGTACATTTTTGTTACTGTTCGTCCGACCATACATCTTTCGTGAACAGAGAACTTTACTGCACGATCTCCACAGCAAACACACCCTGGCAATGAAGATTGCGGTTTGGGTGAGCGCTTTGCGGGGCAAAAGGGTTCGTTCTTGTTCTACACGGTTAAATAGGGTTCTGAGCGAGATTGAACAGTTGAGACTTTTCCTGATTGCCGCACCGCGCCAGCAAGTCAGCACCTCACCACTGCCTTCCTACTCACAAATAGGGACGTCCTGCAAAGGAGAGCGGTCAGAACCCGTTTATCCAGCAATACTCTTTCTCCCGTAGCACAGAAGTGCGCTCAGTACAGTACAAAGCAGTGTGTTCCGTAACCGACGCGACAGCCGACATTACGCTGATCGCGGAGCACCGCTGCTAACCTGAGCGACGGCGAAACCACCGTAACGCCGCTTGCAGCTCCCCGCCAGATAGCCAAGGAATGAAAACAGGCGAGAACGACGGGAACGTCGTCGCCACAGCCTCTGGCGTCGCGCGCGGGACTGTCGCCCGCGCCGGTGGCGGGGGCGGCGGCCCTGGCGCCGGAATCGGCGGGCCTGGCTGCGGCGGAAGGTCCGGACGGCGGTGGACGGCGGTGGTGAGGATCCACGGCGCGTGCATTGCGGCGAACGACCCCTTTGCGGGGGACCACGGCGGGCGCTTGCCTGGCGGAAATGCGCCGGCTTGCGGAGATGTGACAGGCGGAAGCGCAGGAGATGCGACAGGCGGAAGCGGGGAGGCGGACGGGGGGATGCGCCTTCCGCCGTACTGCCCGCTGAGATCGTCCCCCGGGTTCGCTTGGTCCGCGCTCACTCACCCGTTCCGCAGGGCGGAGGCGGAGGCGGAGCAGGTGCAGGCGCAGGGACAGGCGGAGGGGCAGGCGGAGGCGATGCCGCAGGCGCAGACACAGGCGCAGGAGCAGGCGCAGGCGCAGGGGAAGGTGCAGGAGCGGGGACCGGGAGAAGGCAGCGAGGAGAGGGGAACGGGGGACGGGGAAGGGGAGAAGGCAGGAGCAGATGAGAAGGCAGGGAGAAGGCGGAGGTCGGTTCGAGGCGGCGGCTTGCTCTGCTGCTTCGGAGGTGGTCCCGCTGAATCTGGGTGTGACAGTGACGGGGCGGGGGTGAGTATAGCGAGGGAAGTAGAGGGAGGAAGAGGGGGAGGAGGGGCAGGGGGGAGTGGAAGGGTGGGAGGGGATGAGGCAGGGCGGGGAATTGCTGCAGAGGCTTTGGTGGCTTGGCGCATGGATAGCGGTGCTGCTGCAGCTGCTGGTGCTACAGCTGGAGCATCAGCGGAAGGTTTGAAGATGGCACAGAAGCAGCAAGAACAGCAGGGGCAGCAGCAGCAGCAGCAGCAGCAGGGGCAGCAGCAACAACAAGATCAGAAGCAGAAGGATGAGCAGCAACACCAACGGCAGCGAGAGCAAGAAGAGGCGGTGGCAATGGCAGGGGAGGACCGCTCCCACGTGCTCGTCTCAAATGCAGGCAGCTTTGCAGCGCCTCACAAGCACCATCACCAGCAGCAACACCAACGGCAGCGAGAGCAAGAAGAGGCGGTGGCAATGGCAGGAGAGGACCGCTCGCACGTGCTCGTCTCACCCTCACGCGGCTTTGTCTTTGCAGCGGTGTATGATGGCTTTGCAGAGAGGCACGCCGTGGATTACCTGCTCGCACACCTCTACACCGCACTGTGCCACCAGCTGGACGCGTGCGGCTTGCATACACTGCACCTGGACTCTCAAGAAAATTCTCTGCACCTGGACTCTCAAGAAAATTCTCTGCACCTGGACGGTTGTGGTGGCGGCGGCTTGCCCTCCGTGCCCTCCCAGGAATCTCACGGAAACGGCCAGCATCTCACATGTGGTCTGCACTGTGAAGCATGCTCAGAGAGTGGGAGGGGGCAAGACCACAGTGCATCTGGCGGTTTGAAAGGGACGTGTGAGTGTGGGTGTGAGTGTGAGAGCACAGGTGGGGGTGAGCTGAAGGGAAAGCTTTTGAGGCGCCTCAAAAGCAGTCAGGCGTGCACGGAGAGTGGGAGGGGGCAGGACCACAGGGCATCTGGCGGTTTGGCAGGGAAGTGTGAGTGTAGGTGTGAGTGTGAGAGCACAGGTGGGGGTGAGTTGAGGGGAAAGCTAAAGTGGATGGTGCGTAAGATGGGCAGGGCGAGTAGGAAAGCGTTCCCAAGGGAGCGAAGCCGCTCTGATCTGTCAGAAGCTTTGGGTGAGACAGAGGGATTGGAGCAGGAGGAGGGTGCGTGTGAAGGTACAGGCGGGGGTGAGTTGAAAGGAAAGTTGAGGTGGACGTTGGGTGGGGTGGGGAGGGCGAGTAAGAAAGCGTTCCCAAGGGAGCGAAGCCGCTCTGATTGGTCGGAAGCTTCTGATGACCATGATTGCAGAATGGACCAGGAGTGTGTGTCTGATAAGGCAGAGGGATTGCAGCAGGACAGAACACCATTCGAGAATTCTAAAAAATCGCTCAGATTGGACAAGGAGTGTGCGTCTGATAAGACACAGGGACCGCAGCAGGAGAGAGCGTCTGATGCCTCTCATAATGGAAGTCTTAGGGGAGAAGAGGAGGGAGAAGAGGTGGGAGAAGGGAAGGGAGAAGGGAAAGGGAGTGAGAAAGAGGTGGGAATTGAACAGAAACAGTCGCAGCAGCAGCACCACCACCATCACCGCCACCACCAGCACCCATCTCATTTGCCAAAAGTCGCCCACGAGCTGGAAAACGACCACAGAAGACATAAGCAGATCTTAGGCGCCTTAGAACGCGCCCTTGCCTCTACCGAATCGTCCTTTCTGACACGAGTTAAAGACGTCTCTACAGACCAGCCGGAGTATGCGGTAGGAGGGGCGTCGTTAGTTGCTGCTATAGTCACAGCCACGGATGTTTATGTGATTAATTTGGGGGATAGTAGAGCTGTGATTGTAAGGGGGGAGGAGATGGGGAGGGGGTTGGGAGGGTTGTTGAGGAAGGGGAGTGGGAGGCGTGTGAGGGGGGTGAGGGTGGAGGAAAGGGGGGAAAGTGGGGGATGGGGAAGTGCGGGAGGGGGAAGTGGGGGAAGAAGGGGAGGGGGAATTGGTGGTAGCAGTGGCGGAATTGAGACAGCAGGGGAAGTGGGAGCGAGGGGGGAGAAGGTGGAGAAGGGGGAGAGAGGGGAGAAAGGGGAAAAGGGAGAGATTAGTCAGGCCGTTGGGAGAATGGAGGGCATGGAAAGCAGGGGTGCATGTGAAGGGGGAGAGCTTGGAGGCGGAGGAATAGGGGACAAGGGGAAGGCAGGAGGAGTAGGAGGAGGGGAGAGCGGTGGAGGCAGAGGAGGGGGAGTGTGGAGGTGGAAGGCTGAGAGACTGACAGTTGACCACAACACGAGCAATGCAGCTGTGAGTTTGCACTGTTGGAGGAGTAACTTTTGGGGGTTCTTAAATTGGCTCTAATAAGGTGACAAGGTTGAGGGACTAACATTGTTTTGACTCGTCTCAAGACTAGGCAGAGAGACTCACAACAAAGGGACTGACAGGGGATCATAACACGAGGAGCCGGCTCAAAGGCAAGCTCACGCGCCCTCACACTGACTCTCCCACTGGCCCCTGCCTGCCTCGCACCCTTACCCTGCTGTCTCACTCTCACACCCTTTCCCGGCGTGCAACCCACACCACAGGAGGTGCGGCGTGTGCAGCACGTGCATGCAGACAGCAACATGATCAAGAGGGGGAGGCTCAAGGGCAAGAACACCCCCCCTGACACTCTCCCACCCACTCCCATCTGCACTCTCCCTTCACCCCTTCCATCTGTGCACAGGAGGTGCGGCGGGTGCAGCAGGCGCATGCAGACAGTGACATGATCAAGAGGGGGAGGGAGACTGAAGGGCAAGGTCGAGCTCACCAGGCCCTGACACTCTCCTACTGTCCCCGCCCTGTCTCACGCCCCTGTCTCCCCGTGCAATCCCCAGGAGGTGCAGCAGGCGCATGCAGACAGCGACATCATCAAGAGGGGGCGACTCAAGGCCAAGATCAAGCTCACACGCGCCTTCGGTGACTCGGTTCCCACTCTGCCCCCGCTCCCTGTCTCACACCCGCATGCAATTCGCAGGAGGTGCGGCGGGTGCAGCAGGCGCATGCAGACAGCGACATCATCAAGAGGGGGAGGCTCAAGGGCAAGATCAAACTGACTCGCGCCTTTGGTGCCGCTTACCTCAAGGACGTGAGTGCCCTGCCTTGCTCTGATCTGTCCTGCCTTGCTCTGATCTGCCCTGCCCTTCCCTGCCCTATCCTTCCCTGCCCTGCCCTGCCCTGCTAAATCACCCCACCCACTCCCTCCCCCCTTCTCTCACCTCCCAATCACCCCGACCACTGCAATCAATCAGCGATTCCCTTCTAGGCATGTATCAAGTCCATTCTTGAGGCACATATTATGGCCTTGCTGTTTGGTTGCTGTAAATTCGGTTATTCTTAAAGCCAAGGTCTCACGTAAGCAAAGGAGCCATCAACTGCAAAACAGTTGAAGCTAGGTTACCTAGTTAGTGCAGACGAAGTTCTCTCTGGTTGGGTTGGAAACTCAGTTTGCGACACACCCGTCATTGCCCCAGCAGCAATTGCAAAACAATTTTGAGTACATGAGACATTCGATGAGTTGGGGGTATTTTAGGTTTGGCTCTGAAGCTAGTCTCCAAACCTAGAAGGTTCGGATCCACCCAACGATTTGTGTTCGCTTCGCACCCCTCGCTTCACCCCACTTCAAACCTTACACCTCGCCAACCAAACTTTCACCATCATCTGCAAAACACTTCGACTACGTGAGACCCTGGTTTTAAGGCGCCTCCCCCCACCCTCCCACTCCCTCCCAACCCCCCAACCCAATCTTCCCCCAATGCAGCAAACAATCAATGATGACCTGCTAGGCATGTTCCGAGTCAAGTACCAAGCCTCCACCTCAGCTTCGGAACCATACCTCTCCACCTCGCCGCACCTCCGCCATGTGCGAATTTCACCGTCGGATCGACTCCTCATTCTCTCATCCGACGGTCTGTATCAGCACATGCAAACCAAGGACGTCCCCAACTGCCTCACCTCCAACCTAACCAGTTTCTTGCCTCAGCCAGCAGCAGCAGGTTCGGCACATGGAGGTTCAGGAAATTTAGGTTCGGTTTATGGAGGTTCGGGAGTTCGTAGGCTGACCAGCGGGATATCCTTGGGGGGGGGCTTTCGGATTGGCAGCAAGAAGTGGATTGGGACAGGAGTGGGGGAAGAGAGAGAACGTGGGGGAAGGGATGGTGAAGGAGGTAGTGGTAGTTGCTTGTCAGTATCAGTGGCAGAAAGAGCAGGAGGAACAGGGGGAGCAGGAGCAGCAGGGGGAGCAGGGGCAGCAGGGGGAGCGGGAGCAGCAAGGGGAGCAGGAGCAGCAGGGGCAGCAGGGGGAGCAGGGGCAGCAGGGGCAGCAGGGGCAGCAGGGGCAGCAGGGGCACCAGGGGCAGCAGGGGCAACAGGGGCAGCAGGGGCAGCAGGGGCAGCAGGGGCAGCAGCAGCAGGAGCAGGGGCAGGGGAACGGTCCAGAACGGGAACAGCAGTAACAGACAACCAAATCACGTGCAACGGCAGCAGCAGCAGCATTGGAGAGGGGCTGGTGAGAGAAGCACTTGCGGTGGCTACTGAGAGCTCTCAAAAACCACCTGTTGCAACTCAAAGCACGAGCAGCAGCAACAACAGCAATATTGCAGAGGGGTTGGTGCGAGAAGCTCTTGAGAGAGCTGCAGGGCACACAGGCACCCACCCCTCCGCCCTCTCCTCTCTCCCCCTCGGCACCCAGCGCAGGAAGATTCACGACGATATCTCGGTTATTGTACTGGAGATTCAACCACCTCCATCACTGTTACACCCTGCACAGTCACACCCATTACTGTCACGCAAATCTTTGCCACGCCCCTTACAGTCACACATGCATGCGGTGCTCCATTCTGGCCTTCCCACCACCACCACTAGCAGCAGCGCCATCACCAGCAGCAGCAGCAGCAGCAGCGGCAGGCACGCTTTGAGCAGAATGCTTCGCCGCACACACTCTGCTGCTGCCCCGCCCCTCCCCCACCGCTCCGTCAGCAGCAGCGGTTCGGCGGAGAGCAGTCAACTGTCGCGAATTGACACTGGAGTAGAGATGTGAGCACCTAGCAGTCTGCAACTTGAGTGAGCGTGAGCTACACTGAGGGTACACAGGCTGACAGCATTCGACTACCCCACTCTATCCCATCCTGCCTCCCTTGCTGCCCCGCCCCTCCCTGCCGCTCAGTCAGCAGCAGCGGTTCGGCGGAGAGCACTCAACTGTCGCGAATTGACACTGGAATAGAGATGTGAGCGTGAGTGCATTCCAGTGCATTCCAGACCCTCACGCCCAGTAGCAGTCTAGACCTGAGTGAGCGTGAGCTACACCGAGGGTACACAGGCTGACAGCATTCCACTGCCCCCCACTCTATGCCATCCTGCGCGTCTTCACTCACCCCTCCCCCGCCGCTCCGTTAGCAGCAGCAGATCAGCAGCAGCAGATCAGCAGCAGCAGCAGCAGCAGATCAGCAGCAGCAGATCAGCAGCAGCAGATCAGCAGCAGCAGCAGCAGATCAGCAGCAGCAGATCAGCAGCAGCAGCAGCAGCAGATCAGCAGCAGCAGATCAGCAGCAGCAGATCAGCAGCAGCAGCAGCAGATCAGCAGCAGCAGATCAGCAGCAGCAGCAGCAGATCAGCAGCAGCAGATCAGCAGCAGCAGCAGCAGATCAGCAGCAGCAGCAGCAGATCAGCAGCAGCAGCAGCAGCAGAGCAGCAGCAGCAGCAGCAGATCAGCAGCAGCAGCAGCAGATCAGCAGCAGCAGCAGCAGCAGAGCAGCAGCAGCAGCAGCAGATCAGCAGCAGCAGCAGCAGATCAGCAGCAGCAGATCAGCAGCAGATCAGCAGCAGCAGCAGCAGCAGATAAGCAGCAGCAGCAGCAGATCAGCAGCAGCAGCAGCAGAGCAGCAGCAGCAGCAGCAGATCAGCAGCAGCAGCAGATCAGCAGCAGCAGCAGATCAGCAGCAGCAGCAGATCAGCAGCAGCAGCAGATCAGCAGCAGCAGCAGATCAGCAGCAGCAGCAGATCAGCAGCAGCAGATCAGCAGCAGCAGATCAGCAGCAGCAGCAGCAGATCAGCAGCAGCAGCAGATCAGCAGCAGCAGCAGATCAGCAGCAGCAGATCAGCAGCAGCAGATCAGCAGCAGCAGATCAGCAGCAGCAGCAGCAGATCAGCAGCAGCAGCAGATCAGCAGCAGCAGCAGATCAGCAGCAGCAGCAGATCAGCAGCAGCAGCAGATCAGCAGCAGCAGCAGATCAGCAGCAGCAGCAGATCAGCAGCAGCAGCAGATCAGCAGCAGCAGCAGATCAGCAGCAGCAGCAGATCAGCAGCAGCAGCAGATCAGCAGCAGCAGCAGCAGCAGATCAGCAGCAGCAGCAGATCAGCAGCAGCAGCAGCAGCAGATCAGCAGCAGCAGCAGATCAGCAGCAGCAGCAGATCAGCAGCAGCAGATCAGCAGCAGCAGCAGATCAGCAGCAGCAGCAGCAGATCAGCAGCAGCAGCAGATCAGCAGCAGCAGCAGATCAGCAGCAGCAGCAGATCAGCAGCAGCAGCAGATCAGCAGCAGCAGCAGATCAGCAGCAGCAGCAGATCAGCAGCAGCAGCAGATCAGCAGCAGCAGCAGATCAGCAGCAGCAGCAGATCAGCAGCAGCAGCAGATCAGCAGCAGCAGCAGATCAGCAGCAGCAGCAGCAGATCAGCAGCAGCAGCAGATCAGCAGCAGCAGCAGATCAGCAGCAGCAGATCAGCAGCAGCAGCAGATCAGCAGCAGCAGATCAGCAGCAGCAGATCAGCAGCAGCAGCAGCAGATCAGCAGCAGCAGATCAGCAGCAGCAGCAGCAGATCAGCAGCAGCAGATCAGCAGCAGCAGCAGCAGATCAGCAGCAGCAGCAGCAGATCAGCAGCAGCAGCAGCAGCAGCAGCAGCAGCAGCAGCAGATCAGCAGCAGCAGCAGCAGATCAGCAGCAGCAGCAGCAGCAGAGCAGCAGCAGCAGCAGCAGATCAGCAGCAGCAGCAGCAGATCAGCAGCAGCAGATCAGCAGCAGCAGCAGCAGATCAGCAGCAGCAGATAAGCAGCAGCAGCAGCAGATCAGCAGCAGCAGCAGCAGAGCAGCAGCAGCAGCAGCAGATCAGCAGCAGCAGCAGATCAGCAGCAGCAGCAGATCAGCAGCAGCAGCAGATCAGCAGCAGCAGCAGATCAGCAGCAGCAGCAGATCAGCAGCAGCAGCAGATCAGCAGCAGCAGATCAGCAGCAGCAGCAGCAGATCAGCAGCAGCAGCAGATCAGCAGCAGCAGCAGATCAGCAGCAGCAGATCAGCAGCAGCAGATCAGCAGCAGCAGATCAGCAGCAGCAGCAGCAGAGCAGCAGCAGCAGCAGCAGATCAGCAGCAGCAGATCAGCAGCAGCAGCAGATCAGCAGCAGCAGCAGATCAGCAGCAGCAGCAGATCAGCAGCAGCAGCAGATCAGCAGCAGCAGCAGATCAGCAGCAGCAGCAGATCAGCAGCAGCAGCAGATCAGCAGCAGCAGCAGATCAGCAGCAGCAGCAGCAGCAGATCAGCAGCAGCAGCAGATCAGCAGCAGCAGCAGATCAGCAGCAGCAGATCAGCAGCAGCAGATCAGCAGCAGCAGCAGATCAGCAGCAGCAGCAGCAGATCAGCAGCAGCAGCAGATCAGCAGCAGCAGCAGATCAGCAGCAGCAGCAGATCAGCAGCAGCAGCAGATCAGCAGCAGCAGCAGATCAGCAGCAGCAGCAGATCAGCAGCAGCAGCAGATCAGCAGCAGCAGCAGATCAGCAGCAGCAGCAGATCAGCAGCAGCAGCAGATCAGCAGCAGCAGCAGATCAGCAGCAGCAGATCAGCAGCAGCAGCAGATCAGCAGCAGCAGCAGCAGATTAGCAGCAGCAGCAGATCAGCAGCAGCAGATCAGCAGCAGCAGCAGATCAGCAGCAGCAGATCAGCAGCAGCAGATCAGCAGCAGCAGCAGATCAGCAGCAGCAGATCAGCAGCAGCAGATCAGCAGCAGCAGCAGATCAGCAGCAGCAGCAGCAGATCAGCAGCAGCAGCAGATCAGCAGCAACAGCAGATCAGCAGCAACAGCAGATCAGCAGCAGCAGCAGATCAGCAGCAACAGCAGATCAGCAGCAACAGCAGATCAGCAGCAGCAGCAGATCAGCAGCAGCAGCAGATCAGCAGCAGCAGCAGATCAGCAGCAGCAGCAGATCAGCAGCAGATCAGCAGCAGCAGCAGATCAGCAGCAGCAGCAGATCAGCAGCAGCAGCAGATCAGCAGCAGCAGCAGCAGCAGCAGCAGCAGATCAGCAGCAGAGCAGCAGCAGCAGCAGATCAGCAGCAGAGCAGCAGCAGCAGCAGATCAGCAGCAGAGCAGCAGCAGCAGCAGATCAGCAGCAGAGCAGCAGCAGCAGCAGATCAGCAGCAGAGCAGCAGCAGCAGCAGATCAGCAGCAGAGCAGCAGCAGCAGCAGAGCAGCAGCAGAGCAGCAGCAGCAGCAGATCAGCAGCAGAGCAGCAGCAGCAGCAGATCAGCAGCAGAGCAGCAGCAGCAGCAGATCAGCAGCAGAGCAGCAGCAGCAGCAGATCAGCAGCAGAGCAGCAGCAGCAGCAGATCAGCAGCAGAGCAGCAGCAGCAGCAGATCAGCAGCAGAGCAGCAGCAGCAGCAGATCAGCAGCAGAGCAGCAGCAGCAGCAGATCAGCAGCAGAGCAGCAGCAGCAGCAGATCAGCAGCAGAGCAGCAGCAGCAGCAGATCAGCAGCAGAGCAGCAGCAGCAGCAGATCAGCAGCAGAGCAGCAGCAGCAGCAGATCAGCAGCAGAGCAGCAGCAGCAGCAGATCAGCAGCAGCAGATCAGCAGCAGCAGATCAGCAGCAGCAGATCAGCAGCAGCAGCAGCAGAGCAGCAGCAGCAGCAGCAGATCAGCAGCAGCAGCAGATCAGCAGCAGCAGCAGATCAGCAGCAGCAGCAGATCAGCAGCAGCAGCAGATCAGCAGCAGCAGCAGATCAGCAGCAGCAGCAGATCAGCAGCAGCAGCAGATCAGCAGCAGCAGCAGATCAGCAGCAGCAGATCAGCAGCAGCAGCAGATCAGCAGCAGCAGCAGCAGATCAGCAGCAGCAGCAGATCAGCAGCAGCAGCAGATCAGCAGCAGCAGCAGATCAGCAGCAGCAGCAGATCAGCAGCAGCAGCAGATCAGCAGCAGCAGCAGATCAGCAGCAGCAGCAGATCAGCAGCAGCAGCAGATCAGCAGCAGCAGCAGATCAGCAGCAGCAGCAGATCAGCAGCAGCAGATCAGCAGCAGCAGCAGATCAGCAGCAGCAGCAGCAGATCAGCAGCAGCAGATCAGCAGCAGCAGCAGATCAGCAGCAGCAGCAGATCAGCAGCAGCAGATCAGCAGCAGCAGCAGATCAGCAGGAGCAGCAGATCAGCAGCAGCAGATCAGCAGCAGCAGATCAGCAGCAGCAGCAGATCAGCAGCAGCAGCAGCAGATCAGCAGCAGCAGCAGATCAGCAGCAACAGCAG